ACACACACACACACACACACACACACACACACACACACACACACACACACACACACACACACACACACACACACACACACACACACACACACACACACACACACACACACACACACACACACACACACACACACACACACACACACACACACACACACACACACACACACACACATATATAATCCTGTACTTATGTAAGGTTCAATAAAGTTCAAATAAATAAATATTGCTACTAACCAAGGAAAATGCAGCAGAGCTGGTTATCCAAGGACGTGGAAAAACAAGCTACGTGTGAAGTAGAAAAAATAAAATTGGCATCAAAAGCGGTCTTTGTACCTGATCTTCCCTAATTCTTCGAGCGTCCCTCGACTTCTTTGCGGCTTGGTTGTTGCGGCGACGCCTCTCGAAGTACTTCTCATCCTTGAGCTCAGCGGGGATAGGTCTCTTCTCCCCGCGCCGTCTCATTTCACTCTCACAGCCGGAAACACTCGCCGGGGATAACACTGTGGGTTAATTGTTGCCAGTTACAGATGGGTAAAAACCCGGTGTTTTGGGTGTTTTGGGTTTAAACCCAGTAAACACCCAAATTTTTGGGTGTTTACGATTTTAACTTAAATTCGAAAACCTATTCTACTTCTCGACCTTACGAAAGGCTAGCTGGTACAGTGGGCCACAGTTCCAGCTACCCGTTTCCGTATTTTCTTTCGATAGACCAAGGCGACATGAAAGACCGGATATGGTTAGCTTAGCCACAATGAAAAAAAAAAACCAGATCAAACAGAGAAAAAAACTTACAAAAACAAAGAAGAAACAAACTGTTCCGAATGCGCAACATTGTATGAAGAAAATGATAAAAGAAACGAGCATTTTCGTATGTTAGTGGCTGAAGAATTTAAATATATACGGCCATGTGTGCGCACGAGGTGTTATGAGGAAATTTTAAAATATCTACGGCAAGCAAAAGGCCAACATGTTGGTCAACTACAACATGAAAGCACCGAAAACTAATATTGGGTGACATTTCTTTAAATTTCTATAGTTGTATTGATCATTATAATCAATAAAAATAAATTTTAAAACTTGTTTTTAATATTACTTAAGTATTTACACAAATTAAATAAACACCCAATTTTTTAGGTGTTTACGGGTGTTTATTGGGTTTTTACTTTTACTTTTATTGGGTTAAAACCCGGTCCTTTGGTAAAAACCCAATAAAGAGAGGACGACTTTAGCTGGTTTTATATGGGATATTTTACATTTTTATATACATAACTTTAAAGTGATAAAAGATATGATAGACCAAGTGATATAGTAAATAGTTACTGCAGCCAATATACTATTTCTTCATCATTAGCACGCAAAAATCAACTGTTGCATGAGCCTCTCCCATTAAGACAATTTACCTTAATATTGGACTTATCGGGTTAGTCTTCCAGCATATTTTTATAACTATTATTAAGTTGGTGTTAAATGAAGTAAAATGCAGATGCGCTTTCACCTCTGAGGGTTTTTAAATGGATGCCTCGTTACCAATAGAAGTGGTCTCTGGTTCTCTACACTAAAACAAAACATAGAAGCATTGCGCTGCTATTTTACGCTGGTAGTGAAAGCGTGATCCTTCCACGGTCGACCCAACTCATTCGTGCCACAACCATAATGTAGCTGCAGCGTGGCTCTACTACGTATAAAAGAGTCTCAAGAGGCTTGTTATCCGAATTTTGATTTCATACTAATGCGGTGGTCTCATACTCCCATAAAAGTTTCAAGGATATACCGAGATAATTTTAAAAACTCTCTATTTTACTCTTTAATATTGGTTCTTTGGGCCATTTTCTACTGAATAATCCATCTGATCACGTAACGGCCTAATACCTGTTTCTGCCGCCAAATAACATTGCTTGCACTCTACAGTTATTCACTACAATCATTCACTAATGACACATGTCTACACATGTGTCAATAGTAAATGATTCGTTCATTTGATCCGGGTCGCGTCAAAGTATTGATGATTGCAATTACATTTTTTGAACGTTCCGGATAAAACGGAACGAACGGTTGACGGGAACTACGACCAAAGAGTATAGAAATGTCCGACGGCCGATTTTATTGAGTTAGCTTCACAGATCACAGAGTACTGAAACTCGAAATTATACATTTAATTGATCGACCCGAATGACTCGGTTCGTAAGACGAATCAATACTTGAATGACTAGGTCACTAGAAATGAATGAATGACACATGTCTATTGCACTGCTGTGTGTGGTCTGTAGAGTCTATACCCTACAGACCACACACAGCAATATGGAATACCTCTCAGCCTGGAGTTATACTGACACTCTATAGTGTCAGTATAACTCCAGGCAGAGAGGTATTCCATATTATTCCTCAAGGGTGACAACACATCTACAGCCTACTTAAGCCAACTTTCTACAGCCTTCTTTGTAGAAAGTTGGCTTCAGATGCTGGCTATTGCGAATGCGAAATCATCTCTTTACCGCGTTATTTTAGTCATCATAAAGAGACGGAATGGTTCCCACAACGGAGCTCCAGCAAGGGGTGTCAATAGATTTTGACTACTGTTTGGCTGAAAAACCCAGTTGTCTCTTACCGGTGGTAACTGATTGAAGTCCCCGACGCTTATAATAGACATACCAGCCAATGTACTCAAATAGCTGTTTACCATCAGGTTGTCAGGACTCAGTAAGTTCATTCTAGACATGTATCATTCATTCATTTCTATCGACCCGATCATATAAGTATTGATTCGTCTTACGAACCGTGACCCCGTCTGTAAGACGATCTACGGGGGAGGCCTATGTTAAGCCAGCGGCTTTGAATAGAATGTTGTGTATAGAATAGATTTAATCGACAGTGTACTTAAACTAGAAATATGTCATTCATTCATTTCTAGTGACCCGATTGTGATACGAATAAATACTTGAATATTGATTCGTCTTACAAACCGGGTCATTAAGGTCGATCATTCAAATGGATCATTTCGAGTTTCAGTACTCTTTGATCTCTTCGACCCTCTCGATAATGTCGATCGTCGGACATTACTATACTCTTTGGTCGTAGGTCCTGTCAATCGTTGGAGAGTTTTGGCGGGAACTTGACCGGCGGCGGTTTGCTGCTCCTGTATTATTGTTTAAATAATGGTTTGAAATGGACTTTGATATGTAAAAGTTGTGCGATTTTGTGTATTAAGTGTCTGCGCATGTGAACTATTAGTGAAAACTGTGAAACAAGTGCACAGTGTGACGCATCAACATATTGTGAAGCAGTATATTATGAAGGATAATTATTATAATATATTATAACTTCAGGCTCAGAAGGGCTAGAACCCAGAGCCGTAAAGCTAGTTATTAAGATGAATCAATCGTTGGAACGTTCAAAAAATGTAATTGCAATCATCAATACTTTGATGTTACCTGGGTCAAATCATTCACGATTGACACATGTGTCTAGTTCGTTCGTAATTAAAAGTCGATTATTTAAAAAAATGTTTTAAAATAATCGACTTTTAATTAGTACTCTTATACACTACGTGGAACATATCTACAAGTATCATTGGGTATTAGGTATTTATGGATCATAGCATGGCTGACCATAATTAGGCAGTGTGCTCATTTTTCAACAGAAATTACATTAAAATATAATGAGTGGTGATGTGAGAGTGCTACGTACGTGGTGCGGTCCCCACTGGCAGGTGCTGACAGTATGGTGGCAGACACGAAGACTGCGGTAATGAAGCCAACAGCGGAACCACGCCGTGTACATCTAGAAAAAAAATAACTTTTAGCAATAGACGATAATAGACGTCTTTTGGACTTTTAACAAAAAACGAGGCATTCCATCTTAGTCCCCAGGGGTGACAACGCATCCGCATTTTGATTTTTAATCGAGGATACACACAGCATCCACTTACCATCAGGTGGACTGTGTGCTAAACACTCCACCTGATGGTAAGTGACCAAATTGCACAGTGTACAAAATTTCATTGAAATCAGTTCAGTAGTTTAGCTCATCGCGGAGAAATAATGTAACACGAAATTTTTATATATATAAAGATTGAAATATTAAACCTTTTATTATTTACTCTATTATTATTAAATGTGCATCCATGTTTTACACGGCAACTTTAATTATAACGCATAACATAGAGCAAATTGCACTCTACGTTAGGTCGTGCGAAGTGGCACACCTGGCCAATTTGACCGCGATTACAATGCTCCTGGTCTGGTGGTCTCGCCCTAGCTTAATTATACAACACAAAAGACTAATGATGTGTATTTTGTCGTACCTGCTCGTACCTCTAAGTTAGATACTGTCTGCTTTTTCAATAAAAATAAACTATAAAAGAAACTTCGTGAAGAACGTTTTAAAACAAATTATGTAATATAAAGGAATATTTTATAATACTTGATACTGGCAAAAAAACAACCATACAAGTTCATTACCAAAGAAAAAAAGACACGAGAAATATTCCCGCTTAAATCAGTGACCTACATCACCTACAAAAAATGGATGCGATGTGGGCGATTGTTTCAGCCTTTCGGCAGATGTTCATATTATTGATGTGGTATTAGCTAGTTTTAAAATGAACTTTAATACATTTTATGGTGGTGATGGTTTGTGAATGCTAGGGCTTAGACTAGGTGGAGTTTGGTTAGGTGGAGTTTGTGCTCGCTTGAATAAACAATATAATAATGTAAAATTCATATAAAGTAAAAGGTTAGGTAATCTATTCTTTGAAACTGAGATCGTATTTGCGAAATAAGTTAACTTTAATAGGCAAATATTACAAAAGCAAAGAATAACTGTTGCTAATAAACAAATATTTGTCAAAAGCAACCCTCAGTGATTAACTAGTTTGCCCAACCGTTTAGAGGGTCCGAGGGCGCGTGGCAACGATCAAAGGGCCATATTCGATAAATTATTGATATCCCTATTTATACACCAACAAAAATCCCTTCATAAACCTAGGTAACGTACACAATAATATCGCCTCAATCGCTCTTGTAATACAGACCAAAATCTTAAAACTCCAATAATTTCGTTTACTTGGGCTGTTACTCACGAAAGTTTTGACGATCCTGTCGTAAAGTACATGGGATATTCACTGTTATGTGAATACGTTAAGGATCAAATTAAATTGTATTCTTTTACGACTGGAGAAGCACTTGTCAACAACGAGGAGGGCTTGCACACCTGCTCGTATTGGGCTTAATTTGTTCTATCAATAATCACTTTGTTGGGTCATCCTTCCGCCACATGTGGTTTTACATATCTATCCTCTTGTACCGCTGTACAAATTTGATTCGGCTGTATGGGATTACTATCAATACATTCTTTTTTTCTTATGCTTTTGGCTTGGATGCTTGTCCTTTAAGCCGTCTTCAATTTTCTCTGTATCAAGTAATTTATTTATTTATTTATTTATTTATTTATTTATTTATTTAGAAAACCAACAGCGTATATAGAAAATATTAACATTAATGTAACAAACTTAAAGTATGGCCAATAACAGGTTTCCCTTATATTGTTTGATGGTAGGTGTATTGTTGTTAGAAGAAAAGGAAAAAGAACAATCTAATAGATAAATTATAAGCAAAATTATAAGCAATTCAATGTAATGAAGGTGGTCATAAGTTTACAGATCAGGAGAGATAGTCAGGTAGAATGATCTATTACGTTACCTTTATATATATATAAATATATATATATATATATATAAACATATAAGATATATATATATATATACATACATATATATTATTTACTTATGTATATATACATATTAAATGTTTAAATATATAAACATAATACAAATAATTAATTATAATATATATTAAATAAAATAACTTAAGTACTTATATTTATATTAGTAGCCTCAAAAATACATATAGAAGAAATAGATGAGAGAATATATGATTGTATGTGATTTTAACTTCAACTGCTCTATTTCGTAATAGTTTTCTTGATGTAATCTTTAAACGTAAGTTTAGATTTCGCAAAGAGGTCAATGTGTCCAAATTGTTCATTATATGTACGAGCAAGCCGCGAAAGAACAGTGTTTCGACAGTAGTTTGAATGATGCCAGGTATATATATATATATATATATATATATATATATATATATATATATATATATATATAATAATAATACTTTTTCTGCCGACTTCCTAAAAGGAGACGGTACTCATTTCGACTGTATGTTTTTTTTATGTGTGCTACCTCATACATATCAAAATGCACTTCAAACCATTATTTAAACTATAATACAGGAGCAGCAATCCGCCGCCGGGCAAGTTCCCGCCAAAACTGTTCTTTTCTGCCGACTTCCAATAATTTAAAATTAAAAATGTTGTACAGCCGAGTTCAATATAAGTTATTAAGAATAACTCAAAAACTATTGGTCTGACCTTGATCAAATTTATATGGGACCACACGAGAAGTACCAGCTTTCAAATAAAAAAAAAGAATCATCGAAATCGATTCACCCAGTAAAAAGTTATGAGGTAACACACATAAAAAAACATACAGTCGAATTGAGTACCGTCTCCATTTTGCAGAAAAGAACTACAGTCGAATTGAGTACCGTCTCCTTTTTGCAGAAAAGAAGACGGTACTCAATTCGACTGTATGTTTTTTTATGTGTGTTATTTGATCAAGGTCAGACCAATAGTTTTTGAGTTATTCTTAATAACTTATATTGAAGTTGGCTGTACAAAATTTTTAATATTTCATTATCTTTATGCAATAATATTTGTATAGGTTACGTAATAGGACCGACGAGTGAATATTTTTATATAGAATTAGGGTGATAAACGAGCACACACTCCACCTTTTTTATGTTATTCTAAGCCGGTGCTTAACTACAATCGCACCTGATGGTAAGTGGTGATGTAGCCTAAGATGGTGAAGAGCACTGACTTACAAAAGCCCGTTCACTCTTGCCTTGAAGACACCCACTTTGTAATGTTTTATACATGGTAGAGCCACGCTGAAGCTATATTAGTAGTATAGTTGTAGCACGAATGGGTCGGCTCGACCGGGGGAGGACCACGCTCTCACAGAATACCAGCGTCAATTAGCAGCTTAACACTGCTGTGTTTCGTATGGTGAGTGCAGAGAATCGGAGACCCTTTATACTGGAAAAGAGGCATTCCATCTTAGTTCTCAAGTGTGACGACGCATCTGCATTTGGATTCGCAAACGAGGATAAATGTAGATATCAATGGGCCACAGCAACCACTTACCATCAGGTGGACTGTGTGCTCGTTTGTCACCGTATCCTATAAAAAAAATCGGATGTAAACACGGATGCTGGCAACTTCTTCCACTCCTTTGCTGTACGCATCATCATGCGTGAAGCGATACCTGACGGTAAATGGATGCGGTGCCCATAGACCATCTACATTTATCCTCGATTAAAAATCAAAATGCAGCTGCGTTGTAACCCCCGAGATCTAAGACGAAATGCTCTGACTCTACCACGTATTAGAACTATAATATAGCTGCAGCGTGGTATTACCGAGTATTGAAGGACGAAATGTGGGAGTGGGCCACCACTAGACTTGATAAGTCATGCCGGAAGTTAATGGATGAAGATGACTTGGGATCTTGTTTTTGGCATTACTAGAAAAACGACTATGATTTCTTATATTTACGCGAACACTACACATTTAAATAAAAATAATTTTACGGATTTTATCGCGTATAGTAACTTATTTTATATTCCCGACGATTCGGGCACTTCTCAGCACCCATGGTCACGGGGGGAGACTGAGTTGTATGACGTCCCACTGTCATAGTTAACCACGGCTAACTTCAGATTAAAAATTATTAATTTTTGTTCCGATCTACGCAGTATGAACTTACAGTATCATGAAGTCTTGCAGTTGTATGCTTGGGTTGGGATTTAATTTTATTAACGCACGTTAAAGAACACATAGCTGATGTTAAGAATCGACATTCCGGGAAGTCTGCAGTCTGTGAACACGTACAGGATCGCCCCCGTAACTACATTAGATTTGATAGAGCACAAATCCTCGCTAAAAACACCGATTCCTCCCCAGGATGATTCGCGAGGCTATTGAAATTAAAAAACATCCTAATTTCAATAGAGAAGATGGCTGGGTGCTACCATCTGCTTGGGATCCCATAATTAATAAAATTAAATCCCAACCCAAGCATACAACTGCAAGACTTCATGATACTGTAAGTTCATACTGCATAGATCGGAACAAAAATTAATAATTTTTAATCTGAAGGTAGCCGTGGTTAACTATGACATTGGGACGACATACACCTCAGTCACCCCGTGACAATGGGTGCTGAAAAGTGCCCGAAACGTCGGGAATATAAAATAAGTTAATATACGCGATAAAATCCGTAAAATTAGTTTTATTTAAAAACGCCTATGTTTAGTTAACGTACGAAACTAGAGCTAGAGGAGGAATTAACTGAATTTGTCGCTATGTTTGTTTTATACGTGGTAGAGCCATGCTGCAGCTATATTAGTGGTATAGTTGTAGCATGAATGGGTCGGCTCGACCGGGGGAATACCACGCTCTCACAGAATACCTGTGTAAAATAGCAGCTTAACGCTGCTGTGTTTCGTATGGTGAGTGTAGAGAACCGGAGACCCTTTTTACTGGAACCGAGGCATTCCATCTTAGTCCTCACGGGTGACGACGCATCTGCATTTTGATTTGTAATCAAGGATATATGTAGATGTCTATGGGCTATAGCAACCACTGACCATCAGGTGGATTGTATGCTCGTTTGTCCCCCTTATCCTATAAAAAAATGTATTATGATCTATCCATCCATTACACTGGCGACTGAGTGGCGCCTTAGTTCTACGCAATGAGGGTGCCGCGAGTTCAAATCCCGTACGGATCAAGTATTTGTATGGACTACAAATAATTTTTCCGGGCCTCCACGATACAGGAAAAAATCCACGATACAGGTAAGTTTTTTATTTTAAAGAAAATTACAGCCTACCAAAGTCCACTGGTTTATTTAAGCGTGCACATTGATTGCCCCTTGAGGAGTATATTTGCCACAGTTGCTACGTTTTACAGGCTGGTTGGAAGCCGCAGTTATAACATCGTAAGTTCTCAAGTCTGAGAAATGTAATATTTAGAACTCGCACTATACCAGCGCTGCGGATGCAGACCTATGCCCAGCAGTAAGGCGTATAAAAGGCTACAACTTAACAGTGGTTTTGCACGATGATGTTGTGACCAGGATTAAGAAAGGAATGCTTCGATGGTTTGGTTATGTAGAAAGAATAGATGACGAAAAGAGTGACAAAGCAAATTTGTGTTGTAGAAGTGAACGGCAGAGTCGGTAAGGGACGCCCTAGGCGAAAGTTTGTCGACCAAATTGACCAAATAAAGAGTACCCTTAATCGACGAGCATATATGCGTAGGTATATGGATGTGGATGAGGCGAGAGAGGTATGTCAGGATCATGCCAAATGGAAGTTCGTAGTCTCTGCTTACCCTTCTAGGTGACAGGTGTGAGTGATATGTTAAAGTTAAAGTTACAGCCTATACATGTCCCACCGCTGGTCACAGGCCTACCCTCATTTCTGTTGGGTTTTAGGGCAAGGCTGCTGCTGCAGCCTTGCCCTAAATCCCTTGCTACTGCTGTTCCGCCACGCTGCCCTAATGCGTGTGGGCGAACTTCACATGTCTTCGAATTTCTTTCTCTTATTTCTCAGTCATGCCAGTTCCTCACAATGTTCACTGTCGGCAAATCGAAGGTGAGTTATGTACTCGCAATTGACGTTAATACCGTATCCTTTCTAGTCCAGTAGCTTCAAAACGTTTTCCAATGAAGAGTTTCGGGGATCTAACGTCATCCTGTGTTCAGTTGTTTCTACAGTTGGATAGGTTTTTTTACTTTGGTTTTTTTCTGGTTCTGTACTGGGTTAGCCATCGTAGCCCTACTGTACAAACACTTCAGCACTTCGATATACCGACAGTCAACTTAGCATCGCTGAAGAGACTGTAGCACCGTCCAAATTTCGACGGAATCAAAGGCATGTTTATGTACATATGTGTATGTATAATTAATTTTAGTTTTTTTTAATCACCAGTCAAAATGTTTAACCATTTTTTAAAAAAAACTATACGTAGCTCCGCAAAATAATTTATTTGTGCTCATCTGTGGGGCCAAGTAGGCAAGAATACTAAAGAAAAAATACATGCGTGAGTGTCGTGGAACACTCGGTTGGAACGAAGTTCCTTTCGTAGTATATTATTATTGATAAACGTATTATATTATTATTGATAAACAAATACAAATAAATGATTTTTTTATAGTATAAGGGTAACAAACGAGCACACAGTCCACCTGATGGTTAGTGGTTGCTGCGGCCCATAGAAATCTACATAATAAAAAATGGGTCGGCTCGACCAGGGTAGGAACACGCTCTTACAAAATGCCAACGTAAAATAGCAGCTTAACGCTGGTGTGTTTCGTATGGTGAGTGTAGAGAACCGGAGACCCCTTTTTGCTGGAAACAAATCATTTCATCTTAGTCCTCAGGGATGACAACGCATCTGCATTTTGATTCTTAATGTAAAAAATGTAGATGTCTATGGGCCACAGCACTAACCATCAGGTGGACTGTGTGCTCGTTTGTCATTCTCATTGTATTAAAAAAAATGTTAATAAAGTCTTAAAGAAACAAAAAGTGTTATTTTTAAAAGAAAAACATAGACTTGAAACATCATAACATCATCATCAATTACAGCCCTCCACAAGTCCACTGGTGGACTGCTTCTGTATAGAACGCCTAAAACACGGTCCTCGGCCACCTGCATCCATCTGCTATAAAGTACTAGGTCGTCAATACATCTGTTGATATTGATAGGTAAGAAGTATTTGCTCTCCGCTTGCCTGATCGATCGAGTGGTCTTAATCGTATGCGTGACTGATAACCATGTGATCCGGGTTCGGTTCCTAGATCGGGACAAAATGAGTAATTGGATTGTTCTGTCAAGAAATTCTCACTAGCAGCCCGGAGTCAGGAAGTTGGCGGTGTTCTAAACCCATGCCTTGGAAAGCACGTAAAGTCGTTGGTCCTGCGCCTGATCTCTCTCCGATTGTATTGAACTTCCGTTCTATCGGATTATAAAGATAGAGATACACCTGTGCTTGCGTATACACTAGTGCACTATAATCCTGTCCTGCGCCGATTTTTTTTTATAGGATAGGGTGATAAACGAGCACACAGTCCACCTGATGGTAAGTGGTTACTGTGACCCATAAACATCTACATCTATCCTCAATAAAGACTCAAGATGCATATGCGTTGTCACCCGTGAGGACTAAGATGGAATGCCTCTTTGCCAGTAAAAAGGGTCTCCGGTTCTCTACACTCACCATACGAAACACAGCAGCGTAAAGCTGCTATTTTACGCTGGTTTTCTATGAGAGCGTGGTCCTTCACCGGTCGAGCCGACCCATTCGTGCTACAACTATATTACTAATATAGCTGCAGCATGACTCTACCACGTAAAAAAGAGCGATGGCTAGTCTCCGTTGAGACTGGTCGCCGTGACCGAAATACGGTCTATAGAACATTATTATGTTATCGACTCCATGTAAGCCTTATGTCGTCACTACTAGATCGAGTTAATGGCGTCGATTTACTTGAAGATTATAAATCAGAAATCTATACATGTAATTAAACTTGAAATGTCTACCTGTAATATTGTAATATATAAATAGCTGCCTTTTATTGAGGCGAGACAGTTATATGCCAATAATACATGAACAGCCATTTTAATAGTGAGGTATAAAGAAAATGCGTAAGTGCCGTAGAACACTCGGTTGGAACGAAGTACGAAAGGACGTAGTAATAAAGTAAGGAAGTAACAAATACAAACAAATGAGTTACTAGCGTCTATTAAAATGAAGCGTCATTTAAAATAATATAATATTTCTTTCATGGCAAGATAATAAAAAGTGCGAGGGAGATGGATATTATTTCATCTCGCTTCCTTATAGCCGCCAAGGCCGTCTACACTACGTCAGAAGGGGTCGTGACGGAAAAATCTTACACTTTTCTCGCGTAGCCCCCATCCGCCAAATTCGTACCGTCCGTTTGCCGTCCGTTATGGTACTTCGTTCCAATATACGACAGATTTCATAGCGGGTAAGTTAGTTAGTTCTAAATGTAAAGATTATTGTTTCTTTCTGTATAATTAGCTACTTTTTACATTAATAAGACTAAAAATAAATATACCAAACCACAGATATTCATAAAAGTAGAAAAATTAAAAAAAAGTTCTAATGTGCAAAAAATTAAAGAGCAAACCACTGAAGCATTGTTAATACACCAATTAATATAATACTCTGGAAACTGATAAACTTTCATTTAAAACTAACTTCTCAATTAAATGACATTGTGTAACAATAAACTTTACCTCAGTGTCAACTAGCGACATCTGGTGAGCAGAAAATTATTAACCCTCATTCCTCTCTATGGGGCAATCTATGAGAAAAGCCATGTTCAGCAGTGAACTTTTATAGGCTGTAATTGATAGATGGAAGAGATCCTACCCAGGCGAAGCTGGGGCGGCTCGCTAGTTCAAAATAAACTCACCCGGTGGCATCAAAAAGTGATTGTAGCTGCGCAGCAAACGGAGAGCAGCAAGCGCATCACTATGTTGAGCTGTGCACGATACTGGATCCAAATCGTACAGAGGAACGTTCTGTTCCATATTTAAATATTTTTCCTTATTTTTGTTTTAATTTTAGGGTCGTGGCGCCAGTATAATTCGGTGAAGGTTGAGTTTTTAACGCTTACAGGTTTTATTTTTATTTTTATAGAATGGTTTTAATGTTTGTGAACGCGATGTTTTATATTTTCATACATACACTGTTTCTGATTTCTATTTTATATCAATTTTAAGCCAAAATTTTATTTTTATTGATTAGACGCATTTTAAACTAAAATATTTTTCGCGTCATAGACTCATCATAGACTCATGTTGTATTGCTTTAAAAAAATCTTTGACAATTATTAACTGAATATAGAGGTTTTAATCATCAATTAACAATTACTATGATATTCTTTTTCTTTAAAAAATAATTCTTCAACTTTTTTTGAATAGACAGATTAAAAAGTCCGCCAACAAACGACCGCGCGAACTGTGTCTCAACCGTTACCTCACCGAGGAAAACGCCGAGTCACTTATGTAATTTTCCTCAGCTTTTCCATTGGTTAAAGCGGTAATTATTAGGTAATTTTCTAGACTACGATTGGACGCCGCATGGCCCCGCCTGCAAGTTTTCCGCGTTGTCAGCCTAGCCTTATGACATAGTACAGCGTTCCTCAAACTTTACTCTCATAATTGTATAATTACCTTTATTATAAATGTTCAGTAATAAGCCACAACTCACAAACTCCAATCTGAAGGCCAGTTATATCTTATGGCAACATTTCGACGAATAACGCGCTGCAATAATCTGTGGAGTCAAAAAATAAAACGAAGAGGGTAGAAAGCCGCGTACATCTCTTTGTATAATCATGATGTGAATATTTCTCCAAAAAGCGCTTCTTTCGAAGCTCCCTTCCTATGGGCTTTCCGAGAAATTTTGCAATTGGATCACCAGCTTCCTTGCAGATCGGAGCATCAAGGTCGTTGTAGACGGTGCATGTTCTGACTACAAGCCTATTAACGCTGGTGTTCCACAAGGCTGTGTGATATCACCAACGCTGTTTCTTCTGCATATCAATGATATGTTGCTTACTGGTAACATTCATTGCTATGCGGGTGACAGCACTGGTGATGCTCTATACACCGGCCGTGCCAATATTTCTCGGGAAAACGTCGCCGAGTACCGGAACAAACTTGTGTCTGAAGTCGAGTCTTTGCTGAACAAAGTCTCGGATTGGGGACGACTAAATCTAGTCCAGTTTAATCCTCAGAAGACACAAGTTTGCGCGTTAACCGCTAAAAAGAACCTCTTTGTCGTATCTCCTCAGTTTCAAGGCACTCCCCTTCTTGCCTCAGCCAGTATCGGTATCCTCGGAGTCGACATATCGAGTAAAGTGCAGTTTCGTGGTCACTTGGAAGGCAAGGCCAAATTGGCCTCTAAAAAGCTTGGCGTGCTCAGCAGAGCGGGACAGTATTTCATGCCGGCACACTGCCTGCAACTTTACAAGGCGCAGGTTCGGCCTCACATGGAATACTGTTCCCATCTCTGGGCAGGGGCTCCCCAGTGCCAGTTCCTTCCACTTGACCGCATCCAGCGCAGAGCGGTTCGAATCGTCGACGACCGAGCCCTTTCCGATCGGCTCGATTCATTGGGACTGCGAAGAGATGTTGCATCCCTTTGCAATTTCTTTCGCATCTACGCTCATCTATCGCTCTGAGGAATCCCAGCCGCCAAATTCCACGAACGCACATCGCGGCAGAACTCCCGATGCCATCCACACCATCTGGATATCACTCCTATAAAAAAAAGCTCTAAAAAGGACTTCTCTAGAGTAAACCGTGTACAATCTTGTTACTAGTATGTATATTCTACCGTGTAGAAGAAACTACCAGGAGCTGTCAATATTTGCTGATCTTGGGAGACTGAATAGTAAGGCCGTAAGTAGTTTGTTGTGATCTTGGTTTAATTTTGTGACTGCGGTAACTGAACGTTTTTTCAGAGGATTGTTAATCTCAATACACTTCACCTATACGTCATAAAATAATTCCAAACCACCACAATACACATAAAAGTGTTATTTTACAATGTTGAACGTAACCTTCTCTTAATGAGCAAATATATAGTCTTAATTATGACGCAATATATGCGGATTAACAATCGCGGAGCCAAGCCCAGTTTAATTTTACTTAATAAATATAATCTACTTTGGCTCTTACAGATCTTAAGGCAATTAATAAAATTAGGCATTACTTTGCGGAAATCTATTAAATTATTGTATCCATTAAATATTGTAGATTCATGCTGCGGCTATTCTAATTGTATAATTGTAACACTTATGGGTCGGCTCAAACGGGGAAGGACCACGCTCTCACAGAATACCAGCGTAAAATAGCAGATTAATGCTGATGTGTTTTGTGTGGTGAGTATAGAGAACCGGAGATCCATTTTAGTGGAAAAGAGGCATTCTATCCTAGTCCTCACGGCTGACAACGCATCTGCATTTTGATTTGCAAACGACACTTACCATCAAATCGACTGTGTGCTCGCTTGTCACCTTTATAATATAAAAAAAAATTAAGTTGTTAAAAATTAATTTGCTTATATCCGCGTAATTAGAAAAAATTATGTGTCTTGCCTAATTTGCAGAGTACCTCCCGCCCTCGTCCAATTGCGTGCACTATCCTATGAACGCAATATGACTCAACATTCAGACACTTTTATCGTTTTCTATAATATTAACGATCGTAGAAAGTATTCTTTGATATTCTTCTAAAATATTAGTTTGTTATACAACGGGGTTAGCGTTGTATAACAAACTAATATTTTTCTTCATAGCCGATCATGCCGTTTTTTATCTATCGAAATAGAGTTATCCTTATGGGAACAGATCGTAAACGATATATATATAATCGAGACTGTTAGCATAGGAAAATATTTTTTTATATTTAATTGTATTGTAAATAACACATATACTTGTTATTATATATATTCCCAATAATCCCGTTAAAATGATGGACTTTTAAAGGCAAGACTAAAAAGACATTTTTACTTTGTTATTACTCTTTGTCCTTTTTCTACATTATCAATTTTATATGAAACATATTATTAATAGAATAATAATATGAAAAAATATTCTATTCACTAGCCTTTTTAACAATATAAAAAAATTCAATAAATTTTGAAGATAAGTTATGAAACGATTTTAATAATTATTAATTTATATAGGTTTCTTTAATAATCTTCTTCATTTTGTTGATTTAAAATTTTTAGACATTTTATTTATTGAAATTATATTTGAATTATGAGCTACTGACTATAAAGTTTGAGAACCGTTCCCAAAGAGTATAACAATGCGTGCTGAATAGTTAATGAAGTGTCATTAGCGTTTTACGTGCTATGTGTTAGGTGTTTTATTGTGTTCGGTTTGGATTTTGAAGGCAAATACTCGTATTTGTAAGGTCCTTTTCACGCTTACGTTATACTCTTTTACAAATTTTTTGGGACAATGGTATCATGTTTACATAAATACATAAATTTTAAATACTCACGATCTTTCGAAATTATTAGAAAGCTAGAGATAGAATGAAAAGACTCAAGCACAGATGCACTCTCTATTCCCGGTCGGTAATCTAACACGACCGCAAGGAGATAGGCGCAAGACAAACGGCTTTGCGTGCTTTTTGAGGCCCTAGAGTAAAACGCTGCCAAATTCCTTTCCGCAGGCTGCTACTGAAAATTTCTTGATTGAAAAGCACATTCAGTGATTTGTCACAGTTGACAGTCAGCAGTGGCGCTTACAACCACCAGGAAAACGAGGCCGTCTGATCCAGACTTCGAATCATCCTGAAGTTATTTTATTCCTCTTCACCAAAAAGCGAAAACAGGTTTTGAGTTCAATATTGGCCACTAGTCAAACTCGTCTAGTTTTGAAACTGCTTTGGAGATCGTTTCAATAATCGTCTATAGATTATTCAAAAAGACTGCTATAGCTCATAGAGCCTATTCAACATAGGTACAATGGCAATTTCCTCGATTTCATCATCTAAAGAATGGCCACCCTGCTTGCCTGATCTAAACAACAACTATTACACGTGAGTGGGATAAAATTTCTTTGGAAAATTCTGGAAATTTTTCCCATCGTTTGTCTATAATAGAGGTTAACTTAACATTTCCTATCAACCATACCAGCCAAATACCAGCATAAAATAGCATCTTAATGTTGCTGTGTTCCGTATGGTGAGTAGAAGGAACCGGAGACCCTTATTACTGGATACGAGACATTTCATCTCAGTCTACAGCGGTGACAACGCGTCTGCATTTTGGTTAATTGAGGATAAATGTGGTCTTTGGCCAGAGCATCCACTTTCCACCAGGTGGACTGTGTGCTTGTTTTTCACCCTTATTCTAATAAAAATAAACTTCCTTGTCTTTAAGATTCATTTTTGTAATTTCTTAGTTAATTTAATTTTAACATTTTCAAGATTAACATCTTTAAGAAGTATGGATTAACGGAGTTCAATTAAATTTGACACACAGATAGACCCTCTCATGGTTTAACAAGTAAATGAGCTAACATGATCATGAGGGAGTTTCTGTTTTCACGCCTACGTAACCTGGGGCAGGAGCAAGTAAAACAAATCTTATACCTGTTCGACAAGAGAGCCGTCCTAATGAAAAAGTAAACTAGCATTTACATTTCACAATAATTCTTTAATGGAAGTGGTTAATGCAAACAATTATTACACACATTGATTAATGACTTATGAAAAAGATAACACGACAGGAACTCTAGCGCCCCGACATTTCATGTCGATTCTCGTTTCTAGCAAACTCTGGCCATTGTTATGAAAAATAAAGAAAATTTTATTAAAAGCGAGTGTGATAAAGAACCTCGCGAAGCCAATATGGCGCCGTGTGGCGCTATAATTGACGCTTACAGTGACGCGAATGGAACACGTTATGAACGATCAAGTAATCCGCACAGCGGATGGTGTAGAAACTTCTTTTTCAACACATTCTTTTAGTTTTTGATTATTAATAAAATGTAAAAGATGCTGTA